AGTACTTACAATAGGAAGTAGAACCCCCAAGCAGCTCCAGCACCAGTGATATTTGGTACAGCACCCTGATACAAGCCCAGTGGTCCACTTGTCTTGAAAATTGTCTTAAATGCATGCCATAATCCTGTATACTTGGGTCGGTTTGTGATGCCTATCCCTTCATCAACTGTAGAGGAAAATATAGCGTGTGAATCATGAGACTTCAAAGAGATGATGCAACACAGGTACATAAAGTTACTGGGATACTTCATCTGTGTCAACCACTGATTTATTGTCCTAATCAATGTTATATTAAGGTTTAATTTTAAGCTTCATGATCATTTCACACAGAATATGTCATAGCGAATATAAATCAAATGCGATTACGCAATCAGGATATAACGTTTGACTTGACGACAATATTCTTCTGAAGTCTCTAAAGGTGAGAATGTCAATGATGCACGACATCAAGATTAAATCTGTACCGAAATACAAGTAAGAATGCCCCAGTAACACCATATTTACCCTGAAATCGCACTTTCACCAGATCTAACGGATGTAGTGCGGCCGTGGAAACTATGCCGCCAGCCATTCCGCCGACCAAATTCTCAAACTTGATGTGGTGAAGGATTGTCTTTCCCGATGGCGTTTTTCCAGATGTCATCTTCTTAGTTGAGGTACACGTGTTGTAATAATTGTATGGTAAGTTCAAATACGAGACATTGCTAGGATATGACTCCAACCTCAGATATTCTAGTTTTACCGATTAGCATTAAAACACATTCGCTCCTACAGGGCGCAGCCATTTTGCACACCGTCCCATGATGCACTGCCCATATTACGAAATCGTTTCTACTCCTTTTAATTCGACGAAATAACCATAAAATATATCAGTAGTTCTTTCTTTTCAAATATAAAGCATGAATAAGCATTTATTTTACCATGTTAAAGTTTTTATACAACTTAAGCATCTTTAAGTTTGCAAGGTCATTTGCTGGGTCAAGGTCGCTCTCGCTCATTCTCGCGTTACCAAAATAGTGTCATGTGATGAAAGAAAGTTGGTCGAAGCAGTAGTAGTAGATCAAATATATCTGAAATATCACAAATATCAAACAAACAGTTCAAGTGACAAAATGTCCAATTTGAAGGAGAAAATTGGTGATCGTCTGGATGCGGTTATATCTAGCATTGACGACCTGGAAAAGTCTGGTAAGCAGAGTGACAGGACCGGCTCAAGCTGCAGTGACTGTCACTGTCAAGATTACTGCCTGTGTTTTACTGTGGTTCAGTTGGCAGTCGGTGACAGCAACGTTTTTATTAATGAACACAAAACCATGGTTAATGACAATCTGATGTATTTTTGTAAAACTGAGGTACACGCGACTGGCATGAAATTTGACTTCATTTGAGTAAAAGAATGTGTTAAAAATTGAAGGAATAAATTGGGTAGTTTTACTATTGTTGTTGATGGTGTTATAATTCCTGATTTGTATTGAGAAATGTGTGCGAGGTAGATAACATTAAGGTCACATAATTAGACAGGCTTGTTTCGTTCCAGGTATTGCCGTGGCAACCAGTCTCTTGATGCAGAGAGCCAATGATGTACGGCTGAACAGAGTAAACTGGCAGTCCTACTTACAGTAAGTGTAGAGAATCAGCAGGCTTTCTATGCTTTTATTGGAGTAATATTATTTATAAGTGTATTTTAGTAGTGAGTGAGTGTTTAAATATACATTGTTCATATTTGAAAATTTCCCAAAGTCATAATGTGTATGTGTATTAGCTTATCCTTCCAAGCTACCAACTTTTCCCATATCAATAATTGAGGATAAAGTGCTTTTAAATTGTGTTCACTTAGTATATTATAGTCTCATTGAGTTAAAATATCATTTTTTCTAGTTTCAAATATTGCACTCAGATTATAACTTTAGTTTTGTGAAGGAAAGTTTTTCGTTTTCTTGAAATGTGGTCTTTATATTTCAGAGGTCAAATGATCAACCAAGAAGAGTATAACATCATTACCAAACTAGACCCTAACACTTCTATGAACCCAGAGACTAGAAGACAACTGATAACTGAACATCCAGTACAGGTATGTAGTCTATTTATTTCTATATAACACCCACTACAGGTATACAAATTATGAAAATAAATTGATGGATGTGCTCCTGATTGATAATTTAAAAAATTGCTAGTTGTTGGTCTTAACAAATGTCAATTTACATCTGTTATCATGTTTTTTTTTCCTTTTCTTTTTCCCGATTTTGTACATCAGTATTTTATTGGCTCATTAAATTATTATCCTTCTTATCTTATTATCTTTCACTCCCACCAGGTGGCTACTACATTTGTGAGTCTGATGTCCCACATCTCCAAGGACCAAACCATGCAGTACATACTCACCATGCTGGATGATATATTACAGGTAAATTGTCTTGTCTTGATTTACACTGCCATCTGTTGTCCTTCCCTCTACCAGGGTGGCAGATTGTATAGGCAGCTTTGCCAAAAGCCACCCTGTAACTTTTGGTAAGATGGAAACAATTTAATCTGCAGGTGCACAGATGGCATTGTACCCATTCTGTAGGGAGTTACCACAGGAGATTCCTCAGTTAACTTCAATCTTAAGTAGAAGTTCAATCTTAAGTAGCAAGCTATTCAAAAGGATTAAAATCAGAGCAATTAATTGTCTTGATTGTTGTCAAGTGGACTTGGCTTGGGCCTGTAAAGTGGCAGTGCTTGAGCAGAAATGTAGACAATTAACAACCATGTAGTCATCCTTGAGATTTCATTACAGGGTGACAGAGAACCAAATATCTGTCTATATATCTAAAGACGTGTGAATATCTTGTGGAATATCAATCTGTGTCCCTGGTAGAGGGTACTCTTGTCCAGTTGTAGCTCTCTGCCAGGATAACCCACACTGCTACTCTGTATATTGTCTTGTCTTGATTTACACTGCCATCTGTTGTCCAGTCTACCAGGAGACCCACACTGCTACTCTGTACAGAAAGGCATGGCTCTGCCGTGGAAGGTGTCACTATGTTAGAATTATTTATATTCCTAAAGTAAAGCATTGAACAAGTCGGCTATGATTAACAGATTTATAATCATTTTATGTATAATCTTCAGGAGGACAAAAGTCGAGTTGAGATGTTCAGGCAGTATGCAAAGCATCACAAATGTTCTGTGTGGGAGCCATTCCTGAATATGTTAAACAGACCAGATGGGTTCATTGTCAACCAGGTATGTGCAGGGTGGAGAAGTTTGTGTGGCCTTTCTTCTGGATACAGGTAGATGTGTGATTGTGTTTGATGTGATGGTGAGATGTGAATGTGTTAGATGGGATAGTGAGGTGTGAATGTGTTAGATGTGACAGTGTTAGATGTGACAGTGAGGTGTGAATGTGTTAGATGTGACAGTGTTAGATGTGACAGTGAGGTGTGAATGTGTTAGATGTGACAGTGAGGTGTGAATGTGTTAGATGTGACAGTGAGGTGTGAATGTGTTAGATGTGACAGTGAGATGTGAATGTGTTAGGTGTGACAGTGAGATGTGAATGTGTTAGATGTGACAGTGAGGTGTGAATGTGTTAGATGTGACAGTGAGATATGAATGTGTTAGGTGTGACAGTGAGTTATTATTTAGGAAATGGAGCACTAAAGCTAAATAATTAACAACTGAGACAAATTTGGTAAAAGTGTGGCAGTCCTGTAAAATTATATTTAACTTTGGTTGTTGCTTACACTTGGTGTAAGTATCAGGGGCGGATTAAGGGCGACTTCTGGGTCTTCCGGAAGACGGTCAGATTTTCAAGT